GTATTTTCCATGTGATTTTCAATTTATAAAATGGCTATAGAAATTTTAACAACTTATCCATTTGAGTATTTGAATCCATGCTAAAATGACAGGTTAAATAGTTTGATTGATAACATAACTAAAAGGCTGAATGACATTCATGTGATATCTATCAGTGGTTAAGAGAGAAATAAATTAAAATTTATCAAACTGGCAGTCTCTACCCAGAATCTGATACCTGCCTTTAATTTGAGGTTTAAAAAAATCATCATTTCTAATTCTACTAGTGCGCCAAGCTACAGGTATTACAAAATAATTTTATATAAGTATACAAATTCCTTCTTATCCCTTAAACATATATAACAAATTTATTTTTATTGGAGAAGAAACTATTATTCAGCAGGTTTAAATAAAGACTGGTGTGGCTTTAGAAGCCTAAATTTCAATTTAAAAAATAATTTCAGATATATGTATAAAGAACTTTAAATACAAAGTGATTATATCTTTTAAAATAAGGCAAAAAACTGGTTAACCAAAACTTCACAAGCCCAATTACTTATCAAATTTCAGTACAACATGATAAACACCACTGCTGAATTCATAAGCTGTTTTCATTAAGAAAGTCAACTCACAGAAATTCTTCTGTACTATAATCATCAAAACTTTAAAAGGGCAAAACTACCTCACTTCAGCATCCTGGGCACAGTCGACATGGAGATGAGATGAAAAATTTAATTGTTCCATTCTGGGATTTAGTAGATACAAATTCTAATCTATACTGATCACTATTAGAATCTAGGTGTTAAACAAAGAACTGTTTAAGAGATAACTGCATAACCTGCCTCCTTCAAGGCACTATAACATCTGAGCAGCTCTGCCTATCTTCCAACCACACAGCAAAATATATTTCAATGAAGGGTTTGGCGTGATGATTACCATCAAGCTTAGAATACTCAACAACCATAATAAGGAAGTAAAAAAACAAGTCATACATTCTTAAGGCTAGTTTCTTAATAATGACACATCATTTCCATTTTGAAATTTAGGACTAATATTAAGCAAGAAAAAGGCTAGAAGTTAGATGTTTATTTATTTAACTAAAAATATTTAGCTTCTTCTAAAAGTGAATTCTAAGACATCACATACGATGTGCAGTTTATGATAAAAGATCACAAGAGTCTGCCTGATTTAGTCAATGATAAATTACCAACTCTGATAAATGTCTTTAATAAAAGCCCTGGAAACAGAATACTCTTAATTGACTTAACTAGAAAACTAAAATAAATGTCTTCTAAAAGGTTTCTATTTAAAATTTTTAATTAACAAAAGCAAATATCTATAAGAGTTCAAGAACCCAATTTTTTATGTTAAAAGTTTTGTAATATGCTACAATATAAACCTTGATGACATAAGGTTCAGTGAAATAAACCAGTCACAAAAAGACAAATGTTGTATGATTGTACTTATATGAGGTACTTAGAATAATCAAAATCATAGACAGAAAGTATAATGGTGGTTGTTTGCCAGGGGCTGGAGAGAGGGACGAATGGGGAGTTACTGTTTAATAGGTATAGAGTTCCAATTTTATAAGATGAAAGAGGTATGGTTATGGATGGTGGTGATGTGGCTGCACAACAATATGAATGTATTTAAAACCACTGAACTGTACACTTAAAAATGGTTAAGATGGTAAATTTCGTGTTTTGTATACTCTACCACAATAAAAAGAAAAGTTTCAAATGATCTAAAAAATTCAAACCTTTGAAGATGCTTTTACTATTGTTTCTATTATTTCCGATTGCACTCAATTATATGAAGAATGTAGGGTGCAAAGCCTGTCTAAAATCTTCCAGGAAATATCATTCCAAATGAGTCAGTAGTACACTCAGGCTATGACATACTAAATGCAATTAGGACACTTGATGTTTACTAGATGATCTCTCTTCATTGCATAATTCTAGCCCTTGTTTCCATGAATAAATGTTACATCATAACCAAATATACACTTTACAGAATGAAGACTAAGCAAATAATTGAACAGAAAGTATAAAACACCTTTCTATACATAAATCTCTCCCAACTGCATATGTTGTTTTATTTATACAGATACACATAAACACTCTGTTTTACACTTTAATTTACACTTATCTAGCAACATGTCTCATATATTACAGAGAATCATTAGTACCACTGACTGATTTTGAGTCTTCATGCCTTGATGACCCTGAAATGTTTTTACTTTTTCAGGGTTTAAGGAGTAACAAACAGCAGCCTAAACATCTAGAAATGCTACATAGTCTGATATTTCTACTTAATAGAGTTAAATTTGTTACGAAATATCTTGTTTCTTTTGAATAAACACACACCAGAGAATTGTCATGAGTGTTGAAATTATGACCAGGACTGGGAGTTTGTTCAGTAAATGCTCAGCCTGTTTTCACTTGTGGATCAGCTGATTAAAGATTCTAACGTGCAGTTGTGGAACATAAGCTAAGCTCCCAAGTAAGCAATTATTAATTGATAATTATTAAGTTCAAAGCAAAAAAAAAATTTTTTTTATTGAGTATAGAGCTTTCGAAGTTAGAAGAAACTTATTTAATCCTAACTCTTTACAAATGAAGAAACCACTACCCAGAGAGGCAAAATGGCCTCCCTCCACAACCCAAGATCACAATTTCACAAAATGTGAACCCAGCTCTTCTGACTCTGGCTCCAATTGTTTACTTTTTTCATTGCTTAGAACTGATTTCAGAGACAACATTATAATCTTGTATTTTGTCATCTTCACGAACGTTCCTACACCCAATGTATCATAAATATATTCTGTATATGACTCTTAAGACTTTCACATTTTTAAAGGAGATAAATACAATTGTGTGCATTTCCTGTAGATGTTGATTATTAAAATTATGTACAAAACTCAATATAAATTAAATTTTTTGGTTCAGTGGAGCATAACACTAGTATAAATATGTCTTATCTTTCTTTTCCTGGTAGATTTGCATCGCTAAGTGATCAAAAAACTGTGGAGGCCATAAAACAAGGTAAAAAGGTATACTGCCTAGAGTGGGATGGATTAGGGCTTCTACCTTGCCAAGACAGAGATTTGTTTGTTAGCCCACATGTTTAATTTAGGTCACATTTTTGAGCTCCAAGAGAGTAGTATGTGAAATATAAAAATGTGCTGGATGAAGCGAAAAATAATGGTTTCCATTGCATGAAGCTGTTTTTCAACCCTTTCAACAAATACTTGAAATTGTTTTGGGTGCAAAGAAAACATAAAACTCCTTTGACCAAATCAAATCAAGAAAATATGAGTGTTCTCAATAAATATAACAAACAAAAAGAAAAAGCAGAATAAAAGATTATTTGGAATTTGGAAAAGGCAGTACTCATGTTTTAAACTCAGAGTACAAAAATTAGCACATTTTGGGAGGGTCAGGGTTCACTATTTGCAACCTTTTAAGAATGTGACACAGGTTGGCTAGAAAGTTATCAGAAAAAGTGATAAAAGTTTGTACATATCATGAATTGATTTGAATATAAAGATTTTTATTTTGAAAGTCTTTTTTATCAAATTATCTCAACAGTTTTCAAAAGATTATTATGTAGTACAAGTAATACTTATAATATTTATCCTTACATTATTTTTTTCATAATATAAATATTAATATTATAGTAAGTTTTTAAAAAGCTACATAGTAAGAGACCTACCATCAGGGAAATGTCACCAGCCTACTTTAAAAACCAACTATTGATACAATAATTAACTTTAAAAACATTCACTATCAAGTAACTATTTCCTTCAAGATATTAATTCTCCTGAAATACTAAAATTTTACCTAATTTGGACCTAGCTTTCCATACAGAGAAGAATGGAATCAGAATAATTTTTTTGTCAGAATTATTTTAACTTATCTGTATAAACAAGTTTAGACATCTTTCCGGAAAGATTTTAAAAGTATTTCCTCTTTCCTGTAGCCTAAAAACAGATGAGTAATTATGAGTTGTTGCAGACTTCCTGGAGTTTCCATGCAACTTTTCAGCACAACCAATACACCAGCATTTCTACTGATTCCTGGCTTTCCTCAGAATGGGAGGCAAAGATAGTTCTAGTAGAGCCCAGATCTTTCTATTCTATAAATTCACAGAAAGTATAAACTTCTAACTTCTAAAAACAAATGATTCCTAAATGCAGTACCTATTTCCAAGTATCTTAGCTACTTAAGATTTAGGTAGAAGCAACCATTGAATTGAATTTATTAAAAGTGGCAAATAAACTGAAAATACATTTTAAACACTTAAGGAGAAAATGAGTTAGAGAAAATTTTAAAGTCTTAATATAAAAAAATACTGCTAATACCCAGAGTTGCTCACATTTAATCTAACATGCAGGAGCCGACACAATTTAAAAAATCTAGTTCAAAATTATAATGTTTGTAGTAAATGTCAATTAAGTATTTCAGTCTTACTAAGGGACAATTTTCCAGCAGCTGAAAACTGTGTCCTTAGTGACTTTTATTAATAAGCAGCAGCGAGAAATATTAAATAAGTCAGCAGCAGCAGTTTAATGTACTAGTGGTTAAAAGGCTGGACTTTGGACTGGGTTTGAACCATAAACTACCGATATGATCTAGGGAATTTATTCTAATTTCTCTGTACGTTAACTTAATCATCTGCAAAATGAAGATAATATGTACCCACTTTATATAGCTGTTTTGAGGATTAAAACACAAAACACTCACCGATGATAGGCTTCTCGCCGATACTTTTTCAGGGCATGCTTATCCATGTTAGCAGGCATATCTGCTGCATTCTGTAACCGATCACTCCAAGAGGTTGTCATTTTAATTGTATGCTGAATTCTAGAAAAGAAAATCAGTACTGTAATTTAGTAGCTTAATGTTGGTATCTTTATGCTGATATCTGATTTTTTTAAAAACTCAGAAATACTCTAAGCTTGCAAATTGCCTGATATAATTATCTATTTAAATATATTGAACATGGTAAATTTACTGAAAAATATACTGACATTTCTAAACTATGTAAATTTAGAAAAATAATTTCATATTACTTCTATAAAGATAATATGCATCACTTCTAAATAACTAAGCATAACAGTCAATAATACCTAACCTTAATTCTAAATTCTAGAAAAGGAACTGAGACCACAGATTTGTGGAAATACATAATTTTCAGTTAATTTTTTTAAAAGATGTATCAACAATTTTAAAAAATATTTTATTTTTCAATTAGTTGACATTATATTATTTTCAGGTGTACGACACAGCGATTAGACATTTACATTACTTACAAATTGATCATCCTGATAAATCCAGTACCCATCTGACACTATGCATATTTATTACAATACTACTATATTCCTCATGTTACACTCTACATCTCTATGACTAATTTATAACTACCATTTTGCACCTCTTAATCCCCTCCCCACTTCACTCATCCCCAACTCCACCCTAATCCAGCAACCATCAAAATGCTCTATGAGCTTCATTCTGTTTTGCTTCTTCATTTATCCTGTTCTCTAGATTCCACATATAAGTGAAATCACATGACATTTGTCTCTGCCTGACTTACTCCACTTAGCACAATACCCTCTAGGTCTATCCATGTTGTTAAAGAAGGTAAGCCTTTATTATTCTTATGGTTGAGTAATATTCCATTGTATAAATGTACCACCTCTTCTTTATCCATTCATCTACTGATGGACACCCAGGTTGCATCCGAATCTTGTTGTAAATAATGCTACAACGAACATATGGATGCACATGTCCCTTCGAAGTAGTGTTTTGGTTTTCTTTGGATGAATACCCAGAAGTGCAATTGCTGGGTCATTAGGCAGTTCTATTTTTAATTTTTTGAGGAAACTCTAAACTATTTTTCATAGTGGCTGTACCAATTTGTAATCCCACCAACAGTGCACAGGCATTCACTTTTCCCCACATCCTTGCCAACACCTGTTTGTTGATTTACTGATGATACTCATTCTGACAGGTGAGGTGATATCTCATTGTGGTTTTAATTTGCATTTCTCTGATGATTAATGACGTTGAGAGTCCTTTCATATGTCCACTGGCCATCTCTATGCCCTCTCTGGCGAAATGCCTATTCAGGTCCTCTACTCATTTTTTAATTGGACTGTTGGGGTTTTTTTTTTTTGGTGTTGAGTTCTATAAGTTCTCTATAAATTTTGGATATTAACCCCTTATCAGATGTATAAGCAAATATCTTCTCCCATTCAGTAGCTGCCTTTTCATTCTGTAAACATTCAAATTTTTAAAAATCTCAAACAGCATCCATAAAATTCTACCTCTTATTTTTAAAAATTAAAGAGATCTGCACAAGGTAAACCCCCTAATCTTTTTTGCATATTGACTTGCGTATTGATTAGCACACATATGGGTGAAGAAACCATCTGAAGCCTGAAAAAGAACCAGCCAAAACATTTAAAGGGAACAATCCCTGAAGGTCACACAGGCTGGAAATAGTTCCTGCCCCAATCAGCCAGTATAAAAAACCTCATCATTTACAAAGTAAAGTAGTTGGAAGGTTTTTGTGACTGTCATAGGGCAAAATTACCTAAACACTGCTCTGGTCCTGCCTACCAATGATTAAAAGCAAAACCTTAAAGGATCAAACTGCTTCCAAGTAATTTAATCATGTCGAAAAACAAAGCTCAAGAATATTCATAGGAATACAAAAATATCCAGCACCCAAAAGGTAAAATTTATAATATCTGGCATCTAATCAAAAAGTAACAGCATTCAAGGAAACAGGAAAATATCCATAATGAGGAGAAACAAACCCGTGACACAGATGACAGACAGCATTAGTACTCGAAGATGTTAAATTGAATAAAATTAATTCAAATAAAAGTAATGCAAATAACACATCATTTAATACATAATTTATAATTAAACAAATTTCACATGTTCAAAAAAACTGGAAGATTGAAAATGATAAGTACAAGCATGAAAGATAAGAGACCCAGATCAAACATTTAGAAATGATAACCACAGTATGAGAAGAGAAATACCCTGGATAAGATCAATGGCAGATTAAACATTAAAGATCAGTGAATAGAAACTATCCAAACTAAAACAGAAAAAAGACTAAAAAAAAACAATAACAGAGCATTGGTGAGCTGTGCAATGGTTTCAAGCAGCTTAATATACATGTAATTGAAGGCCACAAAGAAAAGGAGAGAGAAGACAGAAAAAGATTTTTAAAGAAATAGTGACATTTTTCCAAATTTAATGAAAACTATAAATCCACATACAAGAAAACTCAGCAAACCCTGAGCACAAGAAACAAGAACATTACACCAAGACACATCAAAATCAAATTCCTTAGAAAGAGTGATAAAAATATTAAAAAGCAGCTACACGCAAAAGGGAGAGTGTAGATGTCATATTATAGAGTTATACACCTGAAATTTATGTTATTAACCAATGTTATCCCAATAAATTTAATTTTTTAAAGTCAGGGTAAGAAAAACTCTTACCAAAGAAGCAAGTGGTCAAATACTCAAGAAAAATTAATGAATTTCCAACTTAAAAAAAAAGCTAGAGAGAAAAAAACATTACACAGAGAAGAAAAAAAAAAGATTTCTCATCTGAAGCAGTGAAGCTAGAGGAAAGTGGAGAAACATCTTTAAAATACTAAAAGAAAAAAGTATCAACCTAAACCTCTTTATCTTTCAGGAATAAAGATGAAATAAAGACTTTTTCAGACATATGAAAAGCTGAAAGAATTCATTACCAGTAGACTAAAATTTAAAAGGAAGTCCTTCAAGCAGGAGGAAAGTAATACCAGATGGAAATCAATGTACACAAAGGAACAGGTAAATATATAAGATTTTTTCCCTTCTATTAAATCTTAAAAAAGGTAACTTTTTGAAACAAAAGTAATAACCATATACTGTGAGATTTACAAAATATGTAGAAGTAAAATGTATGACAACAATAGCCCAAAAGTGAGTAAGGGCAAAACAGAAGTATGGTGTTATAAGATCCTTATAGTATACATGAAACAGTATAATATCACTTGAAAGCAGACTTTGATAAGGTAAAGATACATACCATACACCCTAAAGCAATCACCAAAATAACATAAAAACGTTATCACTAATAAGTCAAAGAGATAAAATGGAAAAAATAATCAACCCAAAATAAGATAAAGAGAGAAAAAGGAAACAAAGAACATATAGGACAAAAAGAAAAAAATAGCCATGTGATAGAATGTTACTCAACCATATTTTTAAAAAATCACATTAAATTTAAAATATTTAAACACTTCAATCAAAAAAGAAGCTGGAATGGTTATATTAGTATTAGACAAAGTATACTTCAGATAAAAGAATATTACCAGGGATAAAAGGCCCATTGCTTAATGATAAACAAGTCAATTTATCCAGAGGACATAAAGATCATAAGTGCTTATGCACATCTAATAACAGAGCTTCAAAATATATGCAGCAAAAACAGGATTGCAAGGAAAAAGTGACAGATATATAATTACAGCTGGAGATTTCAATAGTCTCTCAATAACTGACAGAATAAGTAGAGAGGATATCAGTTAAGGATAAAAAAAAGACCAACTTGATGTAATTGACATTTATAAAACAGTCCACCCAACAACTGCAGAATATACAATCTTTTCCAGTGGAATATTTACTGAAATAAATCATATTCTGTCTACAGCCATGCCACCCTGAACAAGCCTGATCCCGTCTGATCTCAGAAGCTAAGCAGGGTCGGGCTTGGTTATTAGTACTTGGATAGGGGACCACCTAGGAAGACCAGGTGTTGCAGGCATAAAAAATAAAAAGTAAGGGATTGTAAACTGACAAGGTCCTTGCAATCTGTGAGGTCAAACAAGGACTGCCGCACCTAAAAATAAATAAATAAATAAATGATAAAATTAAAAAATATATATATATTCTGGGCCACAAAAAAAGCCTCAACAAATTTTTTTTAAAAATCAAGTCTAACAAAGTATGTTCACAAGCCACAACAAAATTAAATTATAAATAACAGAAAGATAGCTGGAAAATCACCAAATATCTGAAAATTAAATAACGCACTTCTACAAAACCCACTGGTCAAAGAATAATAAATCAAAGAAGAAATTAGAAATTATTCTGAACTAAATTGAAATGAAAATACATTATTAAAATTTATGGATGAGTAGGGAATCAAAATATTTCATTAAAAACATCGACTAAACACAAAAGGTGGCACTAATGCTGGAAATGAGGGACAAAAAAATGGCATATAGAAAACAAATAGTAAAATGGCAAAAATAACTTTCTTATAATTACTTTAAATATAAATGGTTTAAACTCTCCCATCAAAAGGCAGACATTGACAGAAAGAATTAAAAAATATATATTCTAACTATATGCTGTCTACAAGAGACTCACTTTAGATCCAAAGACACAAACTAAAATTGAAATTGGAAGGATAAGAAAATACATTCTATGCATGTAACAACCAAATAGAACTGAACTGGCTATACTACTATCAGACAAATTGACTTTTAAATCAAAAACTGTTACAAGAGACATTATATTTTGACAAAAGGGTCAATTTGCCAAGAAGACATAGAAATTACAAACATATACGCACCCAACAACAAAGCCCCAAAATGAATGAAGCAAATATTGACATAGCTCTACAAATTTTGGAGATTTCAATACCTTGCTTCCAATAATGAATATAACATCAATGATTGAATATTGATAAGAATAAAGAGGGCTTCGGCCTGTGTCCCAGAGCATGGGGTGGAGATGTGCCAAACAATCAGAAAAAGGCATACTGAGACCTTTACACCAACCAGAGAG